TTAGTGTAAAAAAATGAGGCAAAAAGTCAATCATGTCAACAAGTTTTCATAAATATTCTCAAGCGTTTGTTATCATCAAGAGTATTCATGTAAAAAATTGAGAATGCTTCATTAACAAAGTATCATTAGAGAAAACGAATTTTGTATAAATCTTTACAAATTATAAGGCTAATGCGTCATGGATTAAATATATTGTCTCGTCACAAAAGGTGTTGTCAAATAAAAATTAGCTATGTCTATTCTGATTTTTCTGACTATTTTAACTTAACAAATAAATTCAATAAGAAGAATAATAGTGATCTTGACTTCATTTGAATCGGAAGCAATAACTTTTAGCTTTATTCCTTGTAATGTGTTTCGTATGGATGAATTACAATTTTATTTTCAAACTAACAACTCAGCTGCATTCAAATTGAAATTCGAATTTTATTTACGTGCGATTTTAGAATATGATCGAAATTCTGATTTTATTCAAATATAGAGAAGACGTAAATTCTTAATCTTTTACACCGTACCTTTGATGACTTCATTTACCTCAATGCTTTAGAATCGTTTTTGTTCTTTACGAGTAAAAAAACAGTGCTAGGCCAGTTGCCTATGATGTATCGTGCATTTGATGGACAAAAATAAGATCCATCGTCTTTGAAAAAAGAGGATGCTATTTTTAACTACGAGCATTCGATCTCCAACGAAAATTTTTTTAATTTAGTTGTGTTATGAAGAGTACGAGTCTTCCTAATTCGAGACTTTTCAATTCATTATTAAAAACCATGAAAACACTAACTATTTCTGACTACTTCTATGTTTGACTTCATCAGGATCGGAAATTCCTACTGACTTCTAGTGTGAGTTTCGAACTATATTCTTGAATGTTATGGAAAATATGAACGGTTAATAAGCAAACTTCAAAAAATCATATAATTTTTAGAAATTATAAACATATTTCAATCAGCTCGAAAAATTCCGAAAAAATAGACTTTGTGATCATAAAATGGTCGAAATGATTTAATAATAAATCGATATGCATTTTAATTGACCATTTTCCCATTATTCTTTTGACTGGGATATAGATCTAGTTAACTGTCATTGCAAATTATATCAAAATTATGTCAACATTTTCTCAATTAAGACTGAAATCACTGAACACATGGTAACGTCGAGGAAGAAATAGCACTGATTTCAAACTTAAATAATGTAAAAAGTCAGCCATCATTTCATTGAAG